CGGAATCTTGAACAGTAGTCGTCTGAACTGGTTTTATGTATCGGTCGAGCTTTGGGCCTTAGAGAATGATCCATGTTGCCTGGCAAGCAAGGATATGTTGTCGCTGCCTGATGTAGTTCTGTGTTGCTGTTAATCTCAATATGGGGTGGGGAGGTGGCTGAAGAAAGATGACAAATGGGCCCTTGATCTCATTTTCAGGTTTGTAACTTCTGTGGAAATTTAAAGTAACCTGAATCTGTAGTGCAACTTGCTAGAAATTGCTAGCTGAACATTCAGAGAAATGTATTGCATGTACATGTGCCAAGTCCTTCAGTGAAGCATGAGGGAGAGGATTCATCATTGGCTCCCAGAAGTTCCCCCATAATCCACAGCCTCTGACTAGGAGGAAGAACCAGGTTTGTTTACAAGGATTTGACTTTCTGCCTTTAGGAACTTCTGGGCCCACCAGTTCCAAGACCTGCTTCCTCCAGTCTTCTGAGTGGCCTTATGGGGAGCTTGGAGCCTACAACATCTCTGCTGAGCCAAAGAGCACCCTCTCCTCCCTTGTCACAGGTCTTTCATACTCGAGCAGCCTCAGCAGACTACCTTCGTCCTAGAATACCATCACCAATTGGTAACGACTCTTGTGCGTGGACATCTGCCCATCCTCGCCCTCCCGCCCCCTGCAAAGGTTATACTTGTTCTCTAGAACTGTCAGTCTTATTCATGGGCATTCTTGAAGAGTTTGAAAAGAAAAAGCTCGCTTACAATGTATATATATATTACACTTTTTTCAGGGTGTGGTGGGGTCACAAATATGGAATGGTTTATTACCCAGCTGCCCTTCTAGATAAGTGTACTCATGTTATAGTTTTATTTCGCTTTTTCACTTGAGAGTGGTCTAAATTGGATATAGCTCTAGGTCTTCCTTCTTTTTGGAATTCAGTGTAAAAATTAATTTAGCATCCTAGGTTTTTGACAGAATAGGAAGTAGCTCTGTGCCAACATAATAAAGTTGGCACACAATCAACTGTGAAGTCTTCTGGCTAATTCAGAATGTGACCGGAAGAAGCATTTCCAGAAAGCTGTCTTAGCAAAGTGTTATGCAGAATCTTACAGTGTTCGTGCCATTCTGGATCGCTTTAGACTGCTGGCCACTCTGGCCCCTGTCAGTCATTCCTTGAGAGAAAGTTTTTATAATCCTCCTTTCATAATTAGGGAGATATAGTGGGAAGAATGTGAACCAGAGCACTGGCCTCTGCTTCGGTGTCAGCCAGCTTGGTGATAATAGGCCGGATCACTGGCTAGAAAAGCTCTTCTGTCCCAGATAGAGGTCTCAGCTCCATCTGCTGACAACTTAGTGGGGAAGACAGATGCACCAGCAGTTCAGGTCCTTAGTGCTCTGATTGAGGTCCACACAGCCCCGCTGTGGGGGCACAGAAGGACGATGGACATCATCAGCCACTGAAGCCAGTACTTCCCAAAAGAAATAGTGTTCAGCGAGGAGCAGCATGCATTAGTTATAATGCCTCTCTGATGGCCTTGTGCTATCCTGAGACTACTGATTCCCTGACTTTCCCAACAGGTTTCACACCAGGACCACAGCAGTTACTCGGAGATCCATTCCAAGGCATGCGCAAGCCCATGAGCCCCGTCACAGCCCAGGTCCAGCTGAACTCTTTCTCACACTCAATCTGTTACTTGCTTTTCACCCTTACTGTTGTGTATGGGATGGAGATTTGCTACAGTGCTTAGAAGTGGTTTTGAATTGTAATTCAAGCTCAGTGAAAGCCTAGAAAATTGGTGGACAATTAAAGTCACACTTAAACGTTTAAAATCCTGTTCAGTGGATAGCAGCACAGTTCATTCAGGTTTGCAATATGTGATTTCTCTGAGCTGCTTCTTAAACATACCTTTCTAAGGGCAGAGAGAAACCTTTGTAGAAAGTGCGACTGTCCTTATTCTTCTGATCCTCCTCTGCCACTTCTGTTCAGCAGATGAGTCAGCTCGAATTGCAACAGGCAGCTTTGGAGGGGCTGGCCTTGCCACATGACCTTGCAGTGCAGACAGCAAACTTCTACCAGCCTGGTTTTGGCAAACCGCAGGTAGACAGAACCAGAGATGGATTCAGAAACAGGTAAGTTACTGACCCTGCTCTTGCAGGGATTTGCAAATTAGTTTTCCTGATTAGCCGATGAGTTATCCACAGTATAATTCTGTTGTGCACACTGATATGTTGTACAGTTATGATGAGCATTCCATCTCCAGATGTTCAGTAGAAGAAATACGGTTGAAATCTGGGGCATAGGTTTTTCATCCTAATGTAAATTTATTTATATTCTTCATTTAAAGGATTCATCTTCATAGCTAACACAGATACATTCATAAAAATCTTATTTGCAGTTACGCTTATGAGATAATGAAAAGTAAAACTCCACCTCGTTTCCTCCCCCGGCCGATTCCTTGTCAAGTTATTAAACTGTCCTCTGAAGTATGTTTGTTGAGCAAGGATTTGTGGGTCAGAGCTAGTAAGTTTGTTGGGTTTTTGATGAGAGCTGGTAACAAATGACTGCTGACTTCACTGTCCTCCTGTTCTCTTCATAGTTGCAACAAATAATAAAATGAACCATAAGTTGAGGAGGGAAAGGGGTAGCAATACTTTTATTGTAAATTAACAGATAAAAACGTATTGAACAAATGTATAGCTTATAAGGCAAATTCCTTTGTTAACTACCCAGAAGCCCTCCATGTGCCATGTTCCAATAATACCTTTTCTCCTTAAGAAGTGACCCCTGTCTTCCTTTAAAACTAATTGCTACCTTCATTGGTTTAATTTTATCACCAAAATGTACATCCATGAACACTATAGTTCGTCCTTCCCGTATAGTACTTAGTAATTAAGTATTTCTGTTTTGATGTGGTTAAAATTGCCGTATCATTGTGTGTGTCTTTAGCTGGTTTTATATGTGGACACAGAAAACACTGAGACCAGTAAGTACCACAAACCTTTGCGTAAATGCATCCTATCTGTAGTAGCCTTCAACCTGAATAGAGAGCTCAGGACTGGTCTGCCTAGCCTGTCACCGGATTTCTCTGTACATGATGTCTAATATTCATTAACATGATCTTTTGACTTTGAAAGCACTTTTGATATCCAGAAGTTCATTTGCTCTTCGCAACAGCTCTGTGAGTTAGATGGAGTAAATAACTACATTTTATGTATATAGAAACAAAGGTTTTAAAATGTGACTTTCTTAAACTAGGAAGTAGATCTCCAAGTCAGTGTCAGTGGAGCCTTCACCTTTTGGATTAAATGTCAGCCTCTCAGGTCCTCCTTAAACAGCCTGTATTCAGTTGTGTACCCCAACACACATGATTTTCTCCCTGCCTTTTTTTTTTTTTTTTTTTACTGTACCTACCACCTTGTAGCATACTATTTTATCTGTTTCCCTGCTGAGAGTAACCTTTTTTCTATTCTGCAACTACAAGAATATAATGAGGCCAGAGACTTTTGTGTGCATGTTAGGTTTACTGCTGTATCCCCAGCATCTAGCACGGTGTCTGGCACATAGTAGGTGCTCAGATGTGTATCAGAAGGAAATGATAGGTCGTGCAGAACCACCAGACTTGGGGTTTACCTCTTAATCATTCAGAATACTACTCATACATTTCTCCCCTCATTGTCATACTCAGAGGCTCAGTGTGACAGCCATGGGTTTAGGTGTCCCATATGTTCATGATTCAGAGAAGTTTGTGAATCACTGACTGTATTTGGGCTTTGGCCTCTGTGGCTACAATGCAGTGAGGGCTTTCATTAGCCAGTGAGCTCATGTAATTCATTCTTCTCTCAGCTTGTTTACATCTTCATCAACTGTTTCCTGTTTTCTTCCAAGTTAAGGGAGAGAGAGTGAGTACAATGTCTGAGGAGAGAAGGGAAGTCTGTTCTTTGAAACTTTATTTGGGAGGCCTGGGAACAACCTTGTGTGTAGACCAGGAATAATGGGGAATGCTACATGTAACTGGGTCTTAAAATAGCTGAAAACTGTTTGATTTGAACCAGCATTTCACAGAGCATCAATTCTGTGCCAGGCACTGTGCTAGTCATTGTTGCTTCCTACCCTCTGAAACATAGCCTGGCCCACAGATGAAGGCCCTCCCTGGCCTGCCTCACTGTTATAGGCTACAAATAACCTATACATCAGCCCCAGAAAACCTTACATTCCCAAGGCCTTCCCAGGTCCCTGTACCACTTCCTTCCACCTGAGCCATTGTTCTTCATCTTAAAGTTTCTGATTGGTCACACCCAGTGTAATGCACCTGCTTCCCAAAAAAGCTTTCCCAGAGTCCCTTCAGTAGGGGTACCCTGTAATTCCTTCTTCCCCTTATCTCCCTATTATACCTTGTTAGTACCTTATGTCTACATGCCTTGATTTGCCCTAGGTTAGTAAAGTATCTCCTGCACTGAGAGTTCTTGCAAGGCCCAGGGCCATGTTTCATTAAGCTTTTGTCTTCCCTTAGAATTTAGCATGCAGTTTTGCATATGTTAGGCACTTACTGAATACTTGAGAAATTGGACTGGATAAGGGAAACAGGATGTTAAAGTCCCAGAATGGTCATGAGTGTTGTGTGGTTGTAGGATTTAGAATTTGAACAGCTTGGGGATCACACTGATACTTGGTTTGTTCACAGACAACAGCGAGTGACCAAGTCACCAGCACCCGTGCATCGAGGGAATTCTTCTTCCCCTGCCGCTTCTGTCACAAGCATGGTCAGTACTGCCTTTGTGAATGACTTCTAGGCTTTTCTTTGGTTGTGCCTCTTTTATCACTATATACCCCAAAATGTCCTTGAATGCCTACCACAGAAACAACTTGAAGTCTTTCATACCTGCATGTTTATTAGGTCTTCCCCTTTTAGTATACAGTCTAACTCAGGATTCTAGTGAAGCCCCTATGCTGGGGAAAGTGTTCCAGCAGATAGACAAATACAGGCCAGAGCACACAAGGTGATACAGACTTTAGGATGTTCAAACAAAAGAAAAGTTGGAGTGATGAGCAGGAGGGACAAGAGTAAAGACAGGAGGTGAGGCAGATGGGATGACTTGGGGTCAGATTATGGAGAGTCCAGAGGATGAGTTCACAAATTCAGGTCTCGATAGGACTTCAGGCTGAGACGGAGGGGTTTGCCTATTTGTGGCGACAAATCTAGTTTTACAACTGACTCATGTACCAGCTTTTTTTTTTTTTTCAGTTTCATTCCCCACAGACCTTTATCACATAGTCAAAGCTGACAGACAAGGGGAAAAAATAATTACTCTGCTTCAGGACCTCAAGTGGTGTGTACCAAGCACCTTGAAGGCAGGGTCTAGAAGGAGCTTTTCTGTTCATCAATCATGCCCAGTGGCCTGCGATGTTTGGGGTAATTTAATGAGAAAAGTTGCATGCATAATAAAAACATCAAAGTAGAAATAGGCAATGAAGAGATGGGAACAAATGATCCCAGAATGTTACTCCTAGTGGCTGAAGAGGCTATTAAGATAATTGTGAATTTTCTGGTAGCCAAGTTAAGATGGGAAACATTAGGAATAGAGAAATTTAGGTTCTGAGGCTGTCTGTGAAATGTCCTTTCCCAGCTAGAAGGGCTACTGCTCCAGAGTATATTTCTAGCCACTTTATTCCCTGCCTCATCCTGGGCTGGGGAAATGTAAATGCCTAAGTTGTTCTCCATCAGCACAGACGTAGGTAAGTTGAAGCCTCTGTGCTTTAACTACCTTTGTGCTAGAGCTAAATCCTGGTTTTGATGAAAAGTGAGTTGTGAGGGAGGGGTGCTGTAGTTGAGACCACCACCTGTTTGGCCCTTCCTGTTTCTTTTCCTCAGTTAGCTAGAGCCCAGAACATTGGAGTTGGCCTTTGCCACATATAGCCAATAAGCAGACTTCACACTGAGTAGTGTGGCCCTTTAATCCTTGCTTGATTAGGAAAAGGCATTCAGACAATGTGCTAATAGATTGTTTTTCTCTGCAGCTGTCTCCTTCCTTCACCCCTACATCAGTGATTCGTAAGATGTATGAGAGCAAAGAGAGAAGCAAGGAGGAGCCAGCATCTGGAAAAGTAGCTCTTGGTGACAGTAAAGAGGACAATCAGAGGGCCAGTGAAGGTACTGCAGGACCGTGGGTGTACTGCCAGAGAGTATGCGACACGTCACGGGCCTGAGTGCTGGCCAGCCGGACCTGCTTCTCTGCAGGGTGCTGGCAAGGCCCCTGACCCCTCTGGACCATAGTTCTGTATCTGACAGGGAGGAGGGCTAGACCAGCTCACAGCTATTTGTGGTGACTATTTACATAGCTATTTGCATAGCTGCTTGAAATTCTGACCAACCTAATAATGATATGCGTGCTAGTAGTACACAGGGAGAAGGAGCTTTAGGATCCTAATTGAAGCTTCAAAGTTGAATTAGTACTACGTTTGGCAGACATAGTTCAACTGTTTTTTTCTTCTGAGAAGTTCTCTCATCTATGAAGATTAAGTCTTCCAACAAAATCTGTGCAGTGAGTAAAGTGTATTGGATGTGGGAAATATATAGAAAGTGTATATCTTGTAAATATACAGAGTATATTTTGTAAGTATTTTCTGAAAGTATATAGAAAGTGTGAGAGGCTTTTAGGAGTTGTACAGTTGTGATAATGACATGGTGAAACAGATTCTAATAAGTAGGTTTACACAGATCTAGATTATTGGGTCTGAGAGATTTTTGCCTATGGTAAAACTTCTGGAGAATAAGAAATCCTGTTGGTCCTATTAAAAGGCAGCTCATATTCTTTCACCAGACTGTAACTGCTGTCTAACCTTTCTGCTTTGATGGAGTTACATAATTTTACTCACTTGATTTTCTCCTTAGGCTAAAAAGCATGTTAACCCCAAGAGGTTGACTAGGACAGGACTAGTTCCCACACAGGCCCAGACCAGTCAGATGGGCAGAGCTAGGCACCCAGCTGAGTTGGACCTCCAGACCTGAAATGCCAAGCTCACTTGCCCACAGCTATTCATGAATAGGGAGGATTTTAAGAATAAAGACACGGGCTTTTTAAGAGTTACGTCATTTGTTACATAAGAGCCTTTGGTTTTTTAGAGTGTAACAAAAATAAACTCTGTTACAGCAAGAGTGTTGGAAGACTAGTAAACAGAGTCTAGTCCCAGCTGTCCCTCACTACTTCTGCCACCTCAACTGGGCCTGTTCATAAGGCAAGCAATGGTCCCTATGGTGCAGTCCTCTAAATTCGTTGATGGGCTAAAGTAATGACTGTGAGCTTTCTACGTAATGAAATTACTAGCTCACTGAGAGTAAAAGTATTTGGGAGAAGTTTGCCAGTACCAAAATACTCTGTCTGCATCCTTACAGAGAACCTCCTGTCATCCAGCTCTGAGCCCAATGCTGATCGAGACTCTTCTCCCACTACAAATCCCAAATTGTCGACATTGCAGCGGTCTTCATGTTCTATCCCACTGTCCCAGACCAACCGTTACACCAAAGAACCAGAGTATCGACCTAAAGCAACTGGGAGAAAAACACCCACTTTAGCATCCCCGGTTCCAGGAACACCTTTTCTCCGCCCTGTCCACCAAGTTCCCCTTGTTCCCCATGTCCCAATTGTTCGGCCTGCTCACCAGCTTCACCCAGGGTTGGTCCAAAGGATGCTAGCCCAGGGAGTGCATCCACAGCATCTTCCAAGTTTGCTCCAAGCCGGTGAGTTTCTGACCTGGCATGACAACAGTTGCTAGAACTGATGAAGGTAATATACTGTGGGAGGTTTTTATCCCTAAAAAAGATATTATTAGATTTTTCTGTCAAACTGATGGGCAGTGGGTCAAATTCATCCCATCCCTCAGTCCATTAAAAGATGAGGGACCTTGTTTGAACATCTCTGTTCTTTTAATGAACTTTCAGATCAGCGAAACTACACAGTCAAGCTTGAAAATTTCCAGGTGGATTAAGATTACTTCTCACCAGATTCTTTCTTCCCAACAGGCGTGCTTCCTCCTGGGATGGACCTGACTCATTTGCAGGGAATATCTGGCCCAATCCTGGGTCAACCCTTTTACCCTTTACCTGCTGCTAGTCACCCTCTCCTAAACCCTCGTCCTGGGACACCTCTGCATCTGGCAATGATGCAACAGCAGATACAGCGCTCAGGTAGGTTCAGGGATGGGCCACATGAGCTGGGGATGGGCTGAAAAGGCTTCAAGCTTTTGAACTGGTTTCCAGTGGAGGAAAATGAATTGACACTGATGATTCATTCTTTATCCTAAGATTAGGGTAAGGGTGTAACCAGAGAACAGGATGAAGTAAACCAACCTCTACGGAATCTGGAATTCCTGTTCCTATACAGACAGTGGGACAGCCAAATGTACTTTGGCTTTGTTTGGCCTTTACCTCTTAGATTCAGCATAGGAACTGCCCAGAGTCGAGGCCCTCTCACCAGTTAGTGTGTTGTGATGCTGCTGCTTACCATGAGGAGCAGCGGTCATGTCATCTAGGATGAGTTCTTAATATGGATTCCAATGTTTCTAGTATTTTGCAAAGGAGTCTCCTAAGAAAGCTGTAGAATAAATCATCTGGTAAAGAATTCCGTTTGGCATTTTATGGATAGGGTTTGGTGAAACACAGCCTCATAAAGTAGAAAACTACTTCTCTCTTGTGCTCTGAATGATAATCCTTCCTTCTTATCACCACAGTTCTTCATCCTCCAGGCTCCGGTTCTCAGGCAGCAGCTGTCAGTGTTCAGACGACCCCTCAGAATGTGCCCAGCCGGTCATTGCCCCACATGCACTCCCAGCTGGAGCACCGCCCCAGCCAGAGAAGCAGCTCCCCGGTGGGTCTTGCCAAGTGGTTTGGCTCAGATGTGCTCCAACAGCCCCTGCCCTCCATGCCTGCCAAAGTCATCAGTGTAGATGAATTGGAGTACCGCCAGTGAGCATGGCAGGGAGGCTTACCTAAGCCTGGACCTAAGGTAGCACCCTGGTCAGGGCTGCTTCTGCATCTTGGGTTGGTTTATGGGTTTTTACTGTGCAAAGCTGTTTAGGGGGCCCAGGCATCTGACATGGTCTGCATTGACAGAAGGATCTTAACCAAATGCGTGGAGCCTGCATGTTCTGAATACAGGATGCAGTGTTGTCAATCCTGGAAATAGTCTTTTTTTTGTAAGATATGTGAATGAAATGTTGGTGTCTTCACCAAGAGGTGGCACCTAAGGGTTCTGAGGAAATGTATAGACCCTTATGTACAGATCTGTGTATAATTTTTGTATATACATATAGGATAGCTTTTTTGAACTTATACAGCTGTACATAAAAGTAGCTGATATTAGTTTAAGTCTGTGTCAACAGTCGGATTTTTTTCACTTGTACATTTGGGATTTTTTCTTTTGGTTGATTAAAGTTGCATATACTAAGTGTGCGAATGAAGCGAATGGCATTGTTGCTTGTTTCTTCCTGAATCCCTTCCTCGTTTCTAACTAGCTGATGCATGAGGTTCAGTAGGTTACTGGAGGGAAATGATCTTAAATTTTAATTTTTCTTTAAAACTCACAGAACTGAACTCTTTACCTTATTTAGTTAAAAGAAGCTATGGCATTTGTAGGACCTATAAAGGCCCCCCGCCGGCCACTTTAGGCTGGGCTCACCCTGTAACTCTATGGTAGCCTCGTGGCTGATGACCATATTAAAGTGTGAAAAATAATTTACTGGGTAATCCATGTGTATGATAGTTTATCACAAGCAAATCTGTGTTTACTGGGTCAAAAGTCAGTAGTTTATTAACATCCTGTTCTCCAACTCAAAAGTCCCCTATAGAGAAAAATGACTCAAAAGAGCTCTAATTCAACCCATTAAAGTCTAATTTTCTTCCGTAGAATTTCTGTCAAGATTGTGTTGCCTATGGTAAGTGATACCTTGGAATTTTTCTCTCATTCCTCAGCTCAGTTATTTTCATCACATGCACAATATGAAAGGACTCTACCAAAATACTACCCGTAGGATCTTAAGTCCCCTTTCCTGACTGAAGGTTTTACAGTCCTATCTGAAGTGCGAATATTTATCTTTTAAGCTCCTCAAGAACCCAGGTTCATGATGCTTGTCCATTTGGAACCATCAAAGCTACTTTGACTGTGCTAGAGGGTCAAATAATGAGGCCATTCCCTGGATTCTGTCTGCGAGGTGAAAAGGCCTGAGTCTTGAGTGCTGCCTATAGATCTGAAGCCGCCCACCCTGTTCTATGCTTCTAGGAACACAAGCGAGCAGGTCACCTTTCAACAATACCTGGCTTTGTGGGTCGAGCTGTGACTTGTCTCTTCCTGGTACTTCAACTTAATCTTCCCTCTCCACCCAGGGAGATTTGCCCTTAGGGTCTACTTCTGAAGCTGAGGAATCATACTGTTTAGAATTCTTACACATGCTTTGGTTCCACAATCTCAAGTGACAGTGGCAGAACACAGACTCCTGAATCCAGTTCTGCCTTCCTGTGTGTCCTTTCTTTCCCCTTTGTGTTGGACCAGCAATTGTAGGTGTAGCTTGGGGGGGAGGACGGGTTGGAACTGCCAGTAAGGGCTTCCTTTTCAGGCTAAAAGATGGTAAGATAGAAATGAACAAATGTAGCTTACCAAACAAAGCGCAAAGCATTAGCCAGTGATTAGTGAGATGTAGCCGGCAGGAAATAAAGGTGTGTTGCTAAGCAGAAGCTAGACATACAGATTTTCTTTCTTTCTTTTTTTTTTGGTATCATTAATCTACATGAGCAACATTATGATTATTAGACTACCCCCATCATCAAGGCCCCCACACATACCCCATTACAGTCACTGTCCATCAGTGTAGTAAGATGCTATAGAATCACTACTTGTCTTCTCTGTGTTGTACAGCCCTCCCCGTGCCCGCCCCCTACATTATGTGTGCTAATTGTAATGCCCCTTTTTCCCCCTTATCCCTCCCTTCCCACCCATCCTCCCCAGTCCCTTTCCCTTTGGTAACTGTTAGTCCATTCTTGGGTTCTGTGATTCTGCTGCTGTTTTGTTCCTTCAGGTTTTTCTTTGTTCTTATGCTCCACAGATGAGTGAAATCATTTGGTACTTGTTTTTCTCCACCTGGCTTATTTCACTGAGCGTAATACCCTCTAGCTCCATCCATGTTGTTGTAAATGGTAGGATTTGATTTCTTCTTATGTCTGAATAATGCTCCATTGTGTATATGTACCATATCTTCTTTATTCATTCATCTAATGATGGACACTTAGGTTGCTCCATTTTTGGTTATTGTAAATAGTGCTGTGATAAACAAGGGTGCATATGTCTTTTTGAAACTGGGATCCTGCATTCTTAGGGTAAATTCCTAGGAGTGGAATTCCTGGGTCAAATGGTATTTCTATTTTTAGTTTTTGGAGGACTAAAAATACTGCTTTCCACAATGGTTGAACTAATTTACATTCCCACCAGCAGTGTAGGAGGGTCCCCCTTTCTCCACGTCTTTGCCAACATTTGATTTTGTTTGTTTTTTGGATGGTAGCCATCCTTACTGGTGTGAGGTTGTATCTCATTGTGGTTTTAATTTGCATTTCTCTGATGACTAGCATCTCTGATGGAGCATCTTTTCATGTGTCTGTTGGCCATCTGAATTTCTTCTTTGGAGAACTGTCTGTTCAGCTCCTCTGCCCATTTTTTAATTGGCTTTTTTGCTTTTTGTTTGTTGAGTTGCATGAGCTCTTTATATATTTTGGATGTCAACCCTTTATCGGATATGTCATTTATTAACATATTCTCCCATACTGTAGAATGTCTTCTTGTTCTATTGATGGTGTCCTTTGCTGTACAGAAGCTTTTCAGCTTGATATAGTCCCACTTGTTCATTTTTGCTTTTATTTCCCTTGCCCGGGGAGATATGTTCATGAAGAAGTTGCTCATGTTTATGTCCAAGAGATTTTTGCCTGTTTTTTTCTAGGAGTTTTATGGTTTCATGACTTACATTCAGGTCTTTGATCCATTTCTAATTTACTTTTGTGTATGGGGTTAGACAATGATCCAGTTTCATTCTCTTACATGTAGCTGTCCAGTTTTGCCAACACCATCTGTTGAAGGAGCTGTCATTTCCCCATTGTATATCCATGGCTCCTTTATCGTTTATTAATTGACCATATATGTTTGGGTTAATATCTGGACTCTCTATTCTGTTCCACTGGTCTGTGGTGGGTCTGTTCTTGTGCCAGTACCAAATTGTCTTGATTACTAGGGCTTTGTAGTAGAGCTTGAAGTTGGGAAGTGAGATCCCCCCTACTTTATTCTTCCTTCGCAGGATTGCTTTGGCTATTCGGGGTCTTTTGTGGTTCCATGTGTATTTTAGAACTATTTGCTCTCGTTTGTTGAAGAATGCTGTAGGTATTTTGATAGGGATTGCATTGCATCTGTAGATTGCTTTAGGCAGGATGTCCATTTTGACAATATTAACTCTTCCTAGTCAAGAGCATGGGATGAGTTTCCATTTGTTAGTGCCCTCTTTAATTTCTCTTAAAAGTGTCTTGTAGTTTACAAGGTATAGGTCTTTCACTTCCTTGGTTAGGTTTATTCCTAGATATTTTATTCTTTTTAATGCAATTGTGAATGGAATTGTTTTCCTGATTTCTGGTTCTGCTAGTTCATCGTTAGTGTATAGGCATGCAACAGATTTCTGTGTATTAATTTTGTATCCTGCAACTTTGCTGAATTCAGATATTAATTAGTTCTAACAGTTTTGGAGTGGATTCTTTAGGGTTTTTTATGTACAATATCATGTCATCTGCAAATAGTGACAGTTTGACCTCTTCTTTAGCAATCTGGATGCCCTTGTATTTCTTTGTTTTGTCTGATTGCCATGGCTAGGATCTCCAGTACTGACATACAGATTTTAACAAAATCATTTTGGTGTATGAGAGGGAGTGGAGGCAAAAGAGAAGCTAATGCAGTCTTCCAGGCACTAAGAGCCTGAACTGAGGGTAAGGGCGGGAGGAAGTGTTATCTCAGCTAACGATACCTTACATGGAGCAACTTTGGGAAGTCTAGCAGGCATGAGATTAGAAGCAATCAGAGCTGCAAGGATATGCAATAAGAGAAACTAGGGATGTGGAAGGCCCCCTCAAAATGGGAGGGCTATAGAGAACCTCATGGAAAACCTATCTTTAAGGAAGGGTGTTAGGAGAGAAAAGGATAGTGCCTCCCAAAGGAAGTAGCTAAACAGCCAGTACTTGGAAAGTCAGTGGTAATCAGTGAAAAGTGGGGGGAAATGGAGTACAGCCTTCAGGAGAGAGCTACTGAGTGTCTTGTAAGCCAGGCTCTATTAAGATGGAAGTTCCCCTGGCCCTTCTTTGTAAATGAGACAAGCACAATCCTGAAACAAAGATAACATAACTGAATCTTCAATAGTTCTATTCCCTTTTTACCAACATTTGATGGAAGAATGGGCATATGACCCAGTTTAGGGCATCAGAAACAAGGACAAACTAACTGGGCAAGTCTGGGAAACATTCCCAAAATAGACCTCTTTTATTATCCTCTGGATGCCGATGTAAATAAAGCCTGGGACTGCAAGAGACATTCGGTAACTGAGGGGAACCAGCTGCCTAGCAAAGCCAACAAATAGCAGTGGACAGAGTAGCTTGTCCTCAATGACGTAACAGCTGCCACAAGCTCAGTTGAGCTTGACAACTTAGGTGAGACCAAGTTTCCTTCCATTTTAGCTGTTTAAGTTACTGTTTGCTATTAAATACAGTTAAAAGTATTCTAGCTAAGTAATGGCACAGGAAAGTCTGTTTTGCTGTGCTGAAAAAGATAAGGAAGTGAAACAGCACTTTCAAGCCATGCTGTGGCAGACAAACCACTAGTTTTGGAAGTTCATGAAGAGAGACATCATCTGTTAAGAATGCCCCTCTTTGGCGCTTTACCCCAGTTAGTACTTCTGACACAAAACTGCACCGTTCCAAGAACTCCCAAGTCTAAGCCCAAAAGGGAGAAAAACGAAAGGTAGGGGATGTTCTCCTCAAGCACCAGGGGCCACTGATAGAGGCAGGGGAGAGTGCTGAATGATGAAAGAAAGGCCCAATTCAAAGCATATCCTGGAGGACTTGGGTGAACTGGATTTCAGCAACCTTCTCTCCCCAATACCCTAGCAGGGCTAAATTCTTGCTTAGTGAAAGTGAATTTGGGCATGAGGATTCCCCCAAAACCCAATACATGCTCTAGTTGGAAAACAAACTTTGCTGGAATTTGCATAGCTCAGAAAGCCAATATTTCTCTGAAGAGTTGGGGTAGGCTCCAGATTATGGCTTCTGTCATGAGTGCAGTAGGGACATCAAGGTCTATATTCTACAAAATGACTAGGATACCAGGCCTCGGGCTTATCTCCTGGGTCTGGGGACAGTGCTAAGCCCCAAGGTCCAGGAAAACTATCAGAAGGAAACAAATGTCACTGATGTAGCAGGAGTAACAAGAACTGGAAAAGGCTGAGTATGTGGATAATCCCACACCTCCATCTCATAACCTACTAGAAGCTCTAGCTCACTTCATTTAAAACCAAACTGTCTTCCTGCATATCTGTTTCCCTTCCTAATTTTCTCAGAGACTACCCATCTCTATCATCCCTGTAAATCATACTGAAACATCTCTGACTTCCTCCAAAGCGCTAGTCAATTGGCTACCAAGTTTAGATTTCTCCTCTGTACCT